ATTATTTGCATTTTACATATGATAAAAGTGCTGCATGGAGAGACCTAGTAATGTGCCCAAGGTGTCACAGTCATGAAGTGGGAGAGCTGACATTTGAACCCAGGCAGGCATCAGCCTATGCCATCCCGTCTCTCCCAGGCAGCCACACACCCTGGGATGACAGGTGAGAGGCTCTGGCCAGACAGGGGTGACATCACCTCCCTTCCCTCCCAGGCCTGGGGGCTCCTGGCTCCCACTTACTATGCAGATATCCCCAGCCCGTGACGTAGCAGGGGTAGTTGTTGGGTAGAATGGTGCCAGCAGGAGGGAGGCAGGCCAGCTGGATCTTGTCGGTGAGGCAGACGGGGTTAGTCAGTTTGACCAGGGCAATGTCGTACCTGGGTCAGTGCAGAGTCAGAGCATGAGGACAGGGTTGACATTTCCTGCCCTGTGGGGCTTTGGAGGGCTCTGAGAGCTTGTCATCGTTCCCTGTACGTTACCCCAGGTTGCTCTGAGTGGCAGGGTCCCAGGGCATGTTTGAAAATGCAGAGGGCCTTGTTGAAAGGAGCAAGGCAGGAGAGATTGTGTCCTACTCCAGGGATAGTTACAGGGTCGACAGCACTGTCCCTGTGTCCCCAGGACTTGGCATGAAGTAGATACACGCTCAGCGGACACGGGCCCTGCAGGCTTGAGTGTCAGCAAACCAGGTCACTCTGGCAGTCTTTGCTTCTCCCTCCTGAGGTCACATCCCCACCCCAGACATCTTTGGAGCTGGTTCCACATCTAAGAGGCCAGAGCTTCTTCCTCCACCCTATAGAAGAAGCAGAGGGCATGTGGTGGAGTTGAGACCCTTGCCTCTGTGAGACCCCCATCTGTTCCCTGACAACCTCACCCCCAAGTGCACCCAGACAGTAACGAACCCATTGGAGACATCGTTGGAGTCCCAGTCCGGATGTTCCACAGTCTTAGAGACACTGACGGCCAGCGAGCCGGACTCCGCAATGCAGAGGTTGTGCCGTCCCAGCGCCACGCCGTAGGTCCTGGAGGAGCTGGGAGAAAGGGGGCTCAGGGAGAGGGTCACCTCCAGAGGCCTGGCTTTGGATAATGTTGGGATAGACACAAGTAACTGGCTGCTGCATGAGCCACTAGGTGGGGCTTGGGCTTGGGGATCTTTCCTCTCCTGGGACAATCAGTTAGTTTTAATAGAGCCTAAAGTATATAACGTAAGAACTATGATCATATAATAATTGTTACTATACTAACTTTAAACTATAATATAAAATAAATGTTGTAATAACACAGACTCTGTAGGATTATGGAGGGAATGAGATGAACACAGAGAAAACAGGAGTCATTTGCTCTCAAGGACATTTTTCCCACCTTTCATTTTCAGATGGGGAAACTGAGGCCCAGAGAGGCGTAACCCGGCCCAGAGTCCCACCGTTACTGAGAAACCAGAACCAGAAGCCAGGACTCCTGACTGTAAGTCTCTATTAGTTTCCCCATCACCTCCTAGAGCTTAGTATAAATTAGATGGGAGAAGGGATTACTCCAGGAAGGAGTCACAACGACCCAGCAAAAGCTCTGGTGAGTTCCAGCTGTGATGAGCAGAGGCCACAGACAACGAAGAGGATAAGTGAACAACGTTGCAGAACCTCGTGGGCCTTTATAATTAGTCTTTAATTCAGAATTAGCTTTCACTGGGCACTTACTAAGTGCCAGGCCCTTTAGTAAATCAACTCATTGAATTCACACTAAATTCTGTTACTCCATTGTTTTCTGCAGGTGATGGTATTGAAGCTTTGAGAAGTCAAGTTGTTCAAGGGAACCCAATTCCAGATCCAGAGGCCACATGTAGATTCCCCAAGAGGGCAGAGATTAGGCCTTCCCCTTCTCCTCATCCTCCTTCAGTACCTGGCACAGGACACCCCATCTGTGGCATGTACTGACATTGATGGGCCAACACACTGAACCATTGATTGACTACAGCTTGTGTCTCAGCCAGTGTAGTGGTTATTTGCAAGGCTGCTTTATGTAGCCTGGTTCACGCCATTTGAGACCCCAGCTCAGAAATGAGCACTGGCTGGTGAGCAGGTCAAGCGCCCAGGGAATGGCAGTTACTTGATGCAGTGGGCAGCTGTCAGGACCCAGTTGTTGGCTATCAGGGTCCCTCCGCAGGTGTGGTACCAATTGCCATTGGAGGTATATAGCAGGGAGACCTGTGGAGAAACACAGGAGCTCTGTGGCTGTGGCTGAAAAAGCAGGGCCTCCCTGCACTCCAGTTTCCCAAGAACAGGGCTGAGACTAGGGTAAGGGGGAGTGAGGCACTCAACTCAGGTGCACAACTTAAGGGGGCACCCAAAACCTCAGATATCACGATACAAAACATGTTAATGCAATCTATATTAAAACGAATCAGGCCAGGCATGGTGGCTCATGCCTGTAATCCCAACATTTTGGGAGGCCAAGGAAGGAGGATCACTTGAGCCCAGGAGTTTGAGACCAGCCTGGACAACATGGTGAAACCCCATCTGATAAGGTTTGACTGTGTCCCTACCCAAATCTCATCTTGAATTGTAGCATAATCCCCACGTGTCGTGGGAGGGACCTGGTGGGAGGTAATTGAATCGTGAGTGTGGTTACCCTCATGCTGTTTTCATGATAGTGAGTTCTCACACGATCTGATGGTTTTATAAGGGGCTTTCCCCCACTTTTGCTCGGCATTTCTCCCTGCTGCCGCTGTGTGAACAAGGATGTGTTTCCTTCCCCTTCTGCCGTGATTGTAAGTTTCCTGAGGCCTCCCCAACCATGTTGAGCTGTGAGTCAATTAAACCTCTTTCCTTTATAAATTACCGAGTCTCAGGTATGTCTTTCTTAGCCGTGTGAGGAAGGATTAATACATTGTATGTACAAAACAGCCCAAAATTAGCCACTGGGTGTGGTGGTGCATGCCTACAGTCCCAGCTACTCAGAAGGCTGAGGTGGGAGTATTGCTTGAGCCCAGGAGTTTGTGAAGCAGCATGGGCACCATAGTGAGAACTTGACTCTACCCAAAAATTTTTAAAATAAAATAAAAATTAACTGGGAGTGGTGGTGCACACCTGTAGTCTCAGCTACTCAGGAGGCTGAGGTGAGAGGATTGCTTGATCTCAGAAAGTCTAGGTTGCATTGAGCTGTAACTGCTCTGTGCTCAGCCTGGGTGACATAGCAAGGGCCTGTATCTGCTCTGCTCCCCCCACAAAAAGCAAAAACAAAATTAACGCAAAAAATCTGGGATAGAAAAATAAAAAACATACAGACTATTAAAAAATAACTATTCTGCCTGGAGTGCTGCCTTATGCCTGTGATTGTAACACTTTGGGAGGTAGAGGTTGGTGAATTCACCTGAGGTCAGAAGTTTGAGACCAGCCTGGCCAACATGGTGAAATCCTGTCTTTACTAAAGATACATATATTATCCAGGTGTGATGGCGTGTGTCTGTAATCCCAGCTACTCAGGAGGCTGAGGCAGGAGAATTACTTGAACCCGGGAGGCAGATGTTGCAGTGAGCCGAGATCGTGCTATTGCACTCCAGCCTGGGTGACAAGAGTGAGACTTTATGTCAAAACAAACAAAAAAAAAACCCCTAAAAACCCTGTTGTGAACATCTTTCTGCAACTGGATTGGTTGGGATCTTCCCCTCCTTGGGAGCTCTTTCCTTAGCTCCCTCCGGTTTAGTATGTCCAAAACAAAACTCCTGACTTATCCCAAACGTGGTCTTTCCCCAGGGTCCTCTGTCACAGTCAATGGCAACTACACTGCTGCTCGGGCCGCAAACCTTGGTGTCATCCTTGGTTCCTGTCTTTTCCTGTTATCCCTCATTCCAGTCCATCAGCAAATCCCATCAGCTCTAGCTTGGGAATATTTGGAGGGGTTGCTACCCCTTGGTGAATACCTCAACTGCGTGTCCCAGTCATCCTCTCTTCTCAATGATCACTCTAGTCTCCCATCTCTTCTCTCTGCTCCCGCCCACATTTTCTCAACACAGTAGCGTGAATGATCCTTTTTGAATGGAAGTCAGATAACTTTTCTTCTCTGCTCAGGCCCTCCAGTGGCTTCTCCTTTACAGTTTATAAAACCTGAATCTGTCTGATGACCTACTAGGCCCTCTGTGGCCTCTCTGACTCCATAGGCTCCCACTGTCCTCTCCTCCAGCCACCCTGACTTCCATGCAGTTCTGCAAATACACCAAACCCACTTCTGCCTCAGGGCCTTTGCACTATATCTTCCTCCTGCCCAGAATATTCTTGCAAATATCGATGTAGCTCTTTCCTTCACTTCCTGTTGGTCTCTGCTCAAGGTTACCTTCTCCATGAGGTCTTCTGTGACCATGCTGTCCGCAACAGTGTGCAAACACACGTACATGCACGCTCATGTACATACACACACAGACACACTCGCCTCCTTCCTCTTGCTCTGCGGTACTCTTCATCATAGTATCTTGCATATTCTGGCATGTTATGAGTTTACTCGTTCAGTTGTTTATTGTCTCACTCCTCTATTTTATTTTTATTTTTTTGAGATGGAGTCTTGCTTTCTCACTCAGGTTGGAGTGCAGGGGCACCATCTGGGCTCACTGCAACCTCTGTCTCCTGGGTTCAAGTGATTCTCCTGTCTAAGCCACCAGAGTAGCTGTGATTACAGGTGCCTGCCACCACACCTGGCTAATTTACTTGCATTTTTAGTAGAGATGGGCTTTCGCCATGTTAGTTAGGCTGATCTGGAACTCCTGACCTCAGGTGATCCACCTACCTCGGCCTCCAAAAGTACTGGGATTACAGGTGTTTGAGCCACTGTGCCGGCCACTCCTCCACTTTAATAAAGGCTTCATGAATTTTTCCCCCTACTGCTATGTGCCAGGTGCCTAGAACAGTGCCTGGTATATACTGGGTCTTTAACAAATGCTTACTGATTGAACAAGTGAGTGAATAAGCAAATGAATAGAATGAAAGAGATCACCAGGGGCGGGTGATCTTGTCTCCTGCTTGTCTAGTTTCCCCCTGAAGACCATAATCCACTCATAGGAACATGACACTGCATAAGTGGACCTTACTCCCCTGCCCCCTGGCTCCTCATGTTTTTTTATATAAATTTTTTCAGGTTAGAAAATGGTTTCTAGGCAGGGCACAGTGGGTCGCACCTGTAATCCCAGCTACTCAGGGGGCTGAGGCAGGAGAATCACTTGAACCCGGGAGGCGGAGGTTGCAGTGAGCTGAGGTGGCACCACCGCACTCCAGCCTGAGCGACAGAGTGAGGGTCTGTCTCAAAAAAAAAAAAAAAAGGTTTCTGTTTATATCGACAGTTTAGCAGGTGTGGGGTACAACTTTTAAGTGGCGGAGGCTGGGCACCGTGGCTCATGCCTGTAATCCCAGCATTTTGGGAGGCTGAGGTGGGGGGGTCACTTGAGGCCAGGCGTTTGACACCAACCTGGTCAACATGATGAGACCCCATCTGTAGTAAAAATACAAAAATTAGCCGGGTGTC